CTCTCTCTCTCTCTCTCTCTCTCTCTCTCTCTCTCTCTCTCTCTCTATCTATCTATCTATCTATCTATCTATCTATCTATCTATCTATCTATCTATCTATCTATCTATCTATCTATCTATCTATTGTCTATCTCTATCTATCTATCTATCTATCTACCTATCTATCTATCTATCTGTCTCCCGCTGTTTTCCCGCACTTGGTTGTGCCTCTTCCCTTGGACACTTAGATCACTTTGTAGAAATCATATCGCGTCAACATCGGTTGCGACTATTACTTCGTAGGATGGTGGATTGGGACCGCGTGAATCTCGTTAATTAATACATGTAGGTCACTTATTAAATGACAAGAGAGCCATAGTCACTCCCACTGTATCTTTTCACTTCAGCATTCAGCGCAGTGGGTAGAGTTCACATTTCTTGATCATCTGATGGAAACGCCCTTTCCCTCTGCTCGTTTCTTCCTCTCTTCAACCTCACCTCTTCGCTTACCCGTGGATGCTCTGATTGTCACTCCTTTCCCCCTGATCTTACCGGCTCACACTCAGATGAACCTGACCGTTGTTACGGTCAGGTGCATGGAATAAACTACATGGTCACTGCTCTTACTCCCTCATTTTCTGGCAACTCCCTCTCCGTGATGTTCTCTCACTATGGCAAGCCATCTTCCATCTCAACCCCGCCAGTCAACTTACGTCGACTGCCAGCAGGCGGTTACGGTAATTATCCATGGGTGATGCATACCATGAACACTCGGTCGTGGGCGGCATTCCCTGTGTTCGCAGTCTGAGTCTAGTGCACACGTTGTTTACTGCTATCTCCCCCATGCTTGTTTCTTCCCTCCTCGCATCCCCTCCATGGTCGCTGCTCCACCTCTTCCCTGTCTTTCTTCCTCTCTGCGTACTTCCCTCTTTCACTGTCACGGCACATCCGCTCACTCTTTCTGTCTCCCTCTTGCTCTCCACTCTCTTTCTTTCTCCTGTCCGTCCTCATTCCCAGCTGTCTGCGAGTTTGTATGAGCAGCAACTCGTGAGACTGTTGCACGCGCGCTCGTACCAGCGAGCAACATTTGCCCCGGTCACTTGATCCAGTGCGCTCTGTTCCCGTTGGTCGCTTCCTCGCGAGCTACATTCCCCCTGGTCGCCTGAGCGGGGAAATGTCCCCTTGTTGTCCCCTTTCCCTCATTTATACCGTGCAGTCGATTGAAGGCCTAGTTCCTAGCGGCAATTGCACGAAGTGCCAAAACCCCTATTGGGCCAAATAACCAGTCTATTTGCCAAATTTTCAATCTCACCCGTTTTGAAGTGCCCATCAAGCCAACATAACAATTTCCCCTGTATCCGGATCCAAATAAAATACCAAGGTCCAAACCCGAACCTTCTAGACCAATCCACATACTACGTCAATGGACCTGGCTTACCCATCAAGCGACACATAAGGCTCAAAATAAATCCAATTGGTGACAATACCGGGACATGGGTCGAGTTTGGGAAAAGTAACATTAGTGTCGAGGTAGAGAAACTGACAATCGAGTGTGTCCGCAAATAGTGCCAAACCATCCTTAACGTAAGAACCCAACAGACGTTGAAGGTCATACGAAACCCAATAAACTATCGAGGTTCCCACAGAGCCAAATGTTGAAGTGCCACATCAATGCATGGGGAAAATTGTACCCAAACCCCAGACCCATTGCATGTGATACTAAGTAGCACCCCCAAAATAGGCATTCGTGTGCAACAACCGTCATGCCCCAAAACATGAATTACACAGGGTCACGCACACTCGAAAAAATTGAGGGTCGTAAAGGGGTTTGTAAAATATGAGGGATCGGGGTAATAACGATGAGAAACATAATCAGACACGAAAACGAGAGACTAACGAATTTCAGGAAAAAACGCTCATTTTTATCATTCTTTAATTTTTTTTTTTTTTTTTTTTTAGTCGCGAAAATAAATAGGCCCTGACCTCCGACTCGGCCACATGGAACTGCTTGCGCGGAAAGTTGCGCACGCTATCGGGGCAAATACCCTTTATAGGGTATTTGTCAGAGATTTTTAAACGTCGGACGCTGTCCGACTCTTTCGTTGAATTGAAGGACTTGATGAAATCGACCTTTGCCAAAAAATTATTTAGACATGACCTATGACTGAGAGACTAAAAGTTTTCGAACTTTAGTTCGGACTCGTGTGGCTTTCAGGAGTAACGAATGCGAATGGCAATGCTTCGTTTTTGTCGAAGACGTAGGAACTTGCAGACATGGGAACGCTAAAGTTAGACATATTCTAGCAGCCGCGCGATTCAGGGCCTAAGGAGATTAAAATGAGGGATGCATCGAGTATAGGGCCGCGGCGCAGGGGGAATAGGAAGAAGGGTTTTTATTTCCTGGGCCGCTGGGGTTGGCATCGAGCCAGGGGGTTGATAGGCCAATGTCGAGGTTACGCGGCCAACTGAGGGGCAGGGCCTGCCAGCAAAGCCTATTAGGCTTCAGGCAGGCAGGATCTGCAGAGCCTCAGGCAGGCAAGGCCTGCAAGGCCACCGGCAGGGGGGATAGCAACTGAGCAAGCTCTTCTTATAGAAAAGTTGCTCCTATCACTGTTGTGATAGGAGTTAACCCAGTAGGTTATGATGCCACACTGTCACCCAGCAGATACCGGGATCAAGCCCGACCGCAAGCATCCTACTTGGCCAACTCCTTTTGGAGCAGCCCAAGCAGTTGGGCGCGACCAAAACACGATCATGAAGATCGCGAGGCTGAGATCTGCCGCTCGCAGATCAGCATGACCCCTACACAAGGATGTCACGCATAAATCGAGAAAAAAAAGATAAATTTTTTTTTTTAGTCCCATAGGACTCGAACTTGGATCAGCATCACAGAGTGCGTGGCTGAAAAGCCACCTGACTCGTGATGGGACCGTTGACATAAGCCAACGGTTATATATATAAAAAAAAAACCCTAACTAAACTAAAGCCAAAATGCCAAGTGGTGCGATATGAAGTGACTGGGGCACTAAAGACCCCAGTGCACCCGACGGTGCCCGTTTAGAGGGGCGACCGTTTCTTTTCTTAGGTAAGTCGTTGTTTTCTCGTTTTGTTTTTGTTTTTTTTGTCTTTTTTGTATTTTTCTTAGATTTGTTTTCTTTACATTTGCTTGGATTTTCTTTAGTTAAATTTTCTTTTAGATTCTTTAGGTTTTTTT